GTGACCAAATTTCAGTGCAAAAAGCGCCTGAATAACTGCACCTTGCAGGTATGCAATATACATTGCATGAGGTTTTAGATGTATGGTGACTTCATTAGTTCAGGTTACATTGTTTTTGTAGAATTAGCTTTTTAGTCACGTTTACTATGCTTTTTAATGTTAATATTTCACCTCATCAGTCATTTAGTGATGATCATTTCATTTCCACATCCTTAAATGAGAGTTATGAATAGTTAATATCCAAGCATTTTTTAAAAATATATGACTGGTTTTTTTCAAAGGACCAACCCTAGAACGAGTTCCGGGAAAGGGGGAGATAGTAACAGTCTTATAATTCGAAAAATAAAATTCTCGGCTATACAAGCCGGAACGTCAAGAGGTTTTAAATATTCGGAACACTAGGTCGGCAAAATAAATGGAGCCCACATAGACCCACTCAGTAAATGTGCTTTTATCTTATGACTCGATATGGAGCCCATCCTATAGCCGGAATTTCGGTCACCTATAAAAATATTTTTCTCTGCAAAACATTTTCGCAATAGACTGCTTTCAATAGAGTAAATCAGCGCGACATTTTTCGAATACACCTGAGATAGTGGAATGACCGATCAAACTTTACGTGAATACCTATCACTTTTCGTCTCCACTGTCTCTTTCCAAGTTGGTGTTCTTCCTTTCTTGACATTCAACTTAACAGTACTTTAACAAATCCGCATCATATTGGTTCTATAGAAGAAAATAGCTTGTGGTATACGCATCTCAAATCAAACTTGGGCGTGCACTTACGCCCCATCTCACTGTTTTGTATCGATCATTTCAGCGTTCTCATTTCACTTACGGCATTGTCACGTGGTTGCGACGGCAAAAAATATGGTACGTGGGTGTCTCAAGACGACACTTTTTATTGAGTGAACATGTGCATAGGAAAGTGCAAAGTACTAGAAATTCGTGCTTTACACAGATAGCGGCAATTAGAGCATTGGTCGTCGGTAAAATGATCTGCGCGAAGGTACGTCGCCATTTATACGCGTAGCATTCATATCGTAGGTGTCTCAAGCTTATCAGGAGATTCTAAAATAATGTAGAGTTTTCGCAGACAGCCAAGCGTCCTTTGCGAAAGGAAACTGATTAATATGTGGTGTTTAACGTTTCAAAACCACCACATGATTATGAGAGATGCCGTAGTGGAGGACTCCAGAAATTTTGACAACGTGGGGTTCTTCAACATGCACCCAAATCGCAGCACATGGACCTACAGCATTTTCGCCTCTATCGAAAATAAAGCAGCCGCAGGTGGGACTTGATCCCACGACCTGCGGGTCAGCAGCCGAGTACCTTAGCTACTGAACCACTACGGCAGTGCCTTTGCGCAAGACAGTGACATAAAAATACAAGTGAGCGTGGCAGTATAATAATGTTGCGATAAAATTTCAGCAGATGCAACATGTTTCACTGTGGATGCCATTTTCATACAGAACCGTCAGTGGGTGGCCACGCGTTGCAAGGTGGATCGACGTCTTTGGGTATTTTGAGTAGGATAAATTTCTACCTAAAACATACGGCGTGACGACAGCACTCACGTTGACTGTAAATATTAATGAAACGAAGTGCACGCTTCGGTGGGATGATATGCATATCATTAAGAAGCTGTTGTGTATTTCTCAAAGGTCGAGGTCCTTAATGGTCGAGTGACCCTTCTCTATCACGTGCTGGGTGAAAGGAATATATCCATGTAATGTTTACAGCCAGCCTATTGACCACAACAACTGACGGTGTCGGCCGACATCACTCCTGTAAGTCTATTTATTGATGTATCCGTTACAGTAAAAAGTAACTAAATACCTCACTCGTTACTCAAATAAGAAAAAGGGGAACGTTTCACGGCTCCACGTTATATAGATACATAAAAAAGGAAACGCACTACCGTTACAGTAACCGAAAAAAACAGAACGAATGTTACCTCTGCCGTAGCTCCGGAGTCATCAGTTTTAATCAATGTGTCTTTGCTGCAGAAACCCACAATGATAATTTTAAATCTCAAATTTATGTTTCACACATACTAACCCAAGCAAGGATTATACTCAAAATGTTCAGTTAACGAGAATTATTTGTACAAATGTACTGAACCTTAGCAATGTCATATAGAAGCTTAATGATGCCTGCACATGTGATGGCTTCTGACTCTGCAGTGACACAGGATGAAACCATTTTTTTTATTGGAGCATTATACACAAAGTGAGGTCCAATAATCCACGGTATTCATGAAGAAACTATCACTGAACTCTCAAGAAATTTACAAATATCGGCCTTTTCTTGATCCTTCAGCACCTCCAATAAAGCAAGTCGAAATCGCCACTGTTGGACCTAGCCACAGGAAGGGCCCACCGCGCGCCAGTAGGCAATCACGGAGGCCTACATTGGTGCCTTTTTATTAGAGAGGGGGGGGGGGGATCGGGAGATGTCGTGGGGAAAAGGGGGGACACTTACAAGCTTGTGACACCAGATGTGCCTTGCAGAGACGTAAGTCTAGAAAAATCACGTCTTGCAACACACATCTTGCAATAGCAGCCTTTTTTTAATATGTTGCAGGTTTTAACTTTGTTTATATAAGAATTCAAATCATGCCTAGAAATCAAATATACAAAAAAACAAAGGTTCCCAGCACTCGTAATTGCATTGTTCTGTTGTGTTTTTTCCGGAACAAGTCGAGAGTGGCAGTTGCTATTTCGATTTCTCGCACATCTGATGGGTATTGAGCACGTGAACACGCTACAAAAAAGCATTGAGGAGTTGAATGTTTTATACATACTTATCAAGCATTCCTATTTGTGACGTTTTTATGAGAAATTTTAATGGGGCCCACTTGCAAGGGGTGTTTCCCTCCCCTGACCAAACACCAAGGGGTCGGGGAGTCAACGTTTTCTGCAGGCGTGGTCAACGGACGCCCAGCTCGTGACCAGTATGGGTTGTGTATCTGAGCAAATATTGCATTTGCTCTCATCTGCACATATGACCATCGAAAGGTTTTTGTCTTGGGGGGATGCAAACCCTTCTTTCAACTTGCATCACGACTGAGGGAGTAGGTCGTGTTGGTGTCGCTAAAGTGGGTAGCAAGTGCTGGTGGAGCTTGAAGGGTTCAAGTGTCCTTTTTGCACCACCCGCCTCGCCCACGCCCATGTCTACACTTCATTCATTGAACACCGCGCTGAGAACTAGTTGAATAAATGCGCAGATTTGTTTCCTTCCACATCCTATACCGCTGCATAAAAGATTCTCACATTGTGAAAAGTAGGTATTTTGATTCGTTTGAAGGAAAGTTACATTCAAAGCATGACAGATACTCAAAAAATCGGTTTCATGCAATCGCAATAAAAAAACTCGAAGCAGAGGTGCTTCTTTTTTGTGCAGCGTACAGTGTAAAAGTAAGATCGGATTCGGAAAAAGCGAAATGAGTGACGTGCGTCACTGCTTGCTCATTGTTCAATGAAAGAAGGTTTCATAAAGTATGACGTAGCCAACAACAGCAACAAACTGCTGCATCTTAAATTAAAAAAAAAAGCAAAGTGCTGCACATTCACGGTAGAACATGCACTTATATTGAAATACGCGTTATTTTTTATGAATGCAAAATAAAAACTATTTTACCAAACGCTTTCCATTCATAGGGATGTCGATACATCTGTGTAGTGTCATTTATGCTATTTGGATGAAAATCCCTGAATTTCAACGAATTGAGTAACCTGTGGCAAAAGAGCCTTTTGAATTTTCAGTTTCGGTTTCTGCGCCGCCGACGCCGCCGCCGCCGACGAAAATTGGCCGCACGCCGCCGCCGATGAAAAAACCGGCGTGCGCCGACAACGCCGCCGCCGCCGACTCTGGACGACCCCCACGCCGCCGCCGGTCGAAATCGCCTCGGCGCACACCTCTACTCCTACTTCTAAATTCACATATAAACCCAAAAAAGTCGATGGAGGGAAGGCCGCTGTGATAGCTCAGTGGTTAGAGCATCAAACGCGTTATTCGAAGGTCGTAGGTTCGGTTCCTGCTCACGGCTGGTTATTTTTTCATCCACTTTTCTTTCTTCTTATTTACATTCCATTGGTTCTAATAACTTCCCCTGTACATTCCTTGGCATTACTGTCTGTTAGATCTCATTAATATTGTGTTAAAACACGGAAAACCGAGCCCTTAGGTATACACTTCTTTCCCTTATATATATATATATATATATATATATATATACATATATATATATATATATATATATATATATATATATATATATATATATATATATATATATATATAGTTCAGGGCATATGATTCATTAGGGCTTGAAAACGGCAGAATATTGATAAACGTCATTTGGAATATGGATGGATTTCTTTGGACATATATATACATATATAGGCTGGATTCAGGCAGAAACGAAATCCCTCTTATTTACTTTATTTATTTTTACTTTAAGTTTGGGTAAACTAGTTGTCCAAATTAGATATTGAAAACCACACCTCCCAGCTTGAGCATGGAGCGGGAACGGTACCGGAATCGAGAGAGTCCTTTGCTGCGCTCCAATCAATTTTCCTAAAATTTAATATGTCTCGAGCTACCATACGTTCGTGCAGACGTGGTCACGGTGTCACTAATCACTGGGGAAGGAAACGAGAATACAAGTCCGTTTTTATGACTTTTTTGTCCGTTTTTTTTTTTCCTGCACTTAATACTGTTTTTATGTGCGTGTCGGGTTGTGTGTAGTGTGCTGTCATCTAGGCACGTTTAAACAAAGCTTGCAGGCATCGCTTGCTCTGCCACCTCTTGATGATAGGGGCAAACAAATTTTGCTATGTTTGGACTCCGGCATTGCATTTATCTCTCCTACAACTTCATAGTCATTTGAAATATTAGTCTTATTTGTTTTTAGGCACTGTAATTTTTGCTTACGCCCTGATAACGCAAACCAACAAAACACGTCATACGATCGCGCTTGGCTACGAACGGCCGGTTCCGGAGCCGCTACCTGGTCAATCCTACGCGCAAGCTGTCGGCAGCCAGCCAGGTGTTACAATGTCCGTGGGAGAATTCTCGCTGGAAAGAAAGGATTCCGGTACGGCCACGGCGTCTGTGAGTGCGCGCTAAACCTCGGAGCGATCAGCACGGCGAACAGCGACGCTTCCGAAGTCCGCGTTGTGACCACGTAAGTCGCCTACCTGCGAATAGTTCCGGGCCTAGCGAGCAGCTGGCGAAGTGACGTTCGCTAGCCAGCCAGCTCTCCCCCATTCAATCACCGGAGTTCTCATTCAATCTCTCCGCTGGGCATGGGTGAACTACCTTCGCGGTCGATGGTACAGGAGCGGCGCCACTCCTGACGTGGACGCTGTCCGCCAAATGGGCGCGGACAATGGAGCTTCGAGTGCCTCTCGTCGATAACCGGGAAACCGCGGGCCCTTCTTACTCGATAATGAAGGTGCAAGACTGGGTGATGAGTTCGGGCCGGCTGCCGACGGCCTACCGCATCGGCAACTCGACGCTGCGCTGCCAGGTCAACTTCGTGGTCGCCGTGGCTCTGACGGGCATCACCTGCCTGCTTCTCATGTACGCCCTGCTTCCCTGGGGCAAGTACCACATCCTCGAGGACCACATTGACGGTCCCGGTCACGAGCACGGACACCAGCACATCCTGAAGGAGTACCTGCCGTACAACGACACGTACCCGTTGACGAAGCCGATCGTTTACGGACGCAAGGTGCGCTACAAGATCGCCTGCATCACCGACCTCGACACGGAGTCTAAGCTCAAGGGGACCGAGAACACTTGGGTGAGCTACCTCAAGGTCGGCTACCTGGTGGTGGACAAGACCATGAGCGAGGTCAGCATCGAGTGGGAGGACGGAATGACCATGCTCAAGGGACAATTCGCCATGGGAGGCCGCGGCATGGAGCTCTCCGAGCTGGTGGTGTTCAACGGTAAACTCTACACCATGGACGACAGGACTGGGGTGGTGTACGAGATAAGGGACAACAGGGTGATACCGTGGGTGATGCTTACCGACGGCAACGGGGAAGCACCCAAGGGTGAGTAGTCTTGTGGTGATTTGTGAGATCTCGCGCTGCCTGCGATAAGAAACGTAGGCGTGATGATAGATAAAATGGCTGCGAGGTAAACCCAAAAAGCAGCCAAAAGAAAAGACAATGATAGTGTCTAGGGCACGCCAACGGGCAAAGTGGGTATTTAGAGTGAAGCAGATTATCAATAAACACAGCGTGAAGACAATGCCAGGCGTTACATCTTGAACATGTTTCTTTGAGTATCTCTGCTGCACGCATTTTGCTAAGATTCTTGTTTAGTTGCTCTAGTAATGCAGTCTTGGCATTGCACAGGATTGACTGAGAAATTTGGATTAATGTTTGCAAGCAGCTCACGCAAGCGAGGACCTGAAATATTCTTGTGAACTTCTAGGAGCCGAAAACATTGTGCATGTAGATATAGCGTTCCTAGTGGGAATCACCCTGTTAACATTAATAGCTCGACATACACCATTGCATGGAGGTATCGTAAAGTTAACTAGAGTTTGAGACTTGGCATCTGCAAATAGTTTGGAAGTGCAGGAACACAAACTGTCATCTGGTCTTGTCAGTGTGCCAAGATCTCATGTACTTGCAGGTGTAATGCAGGACATCTACATCCATAACGCAAGAGCTCCTAGTAACATTATGCTCTGCAGTCAACATGCTGGTTGGTGTGGAATCAACTGGTAGCTTCGCTGAGAACAGTGCTCCAATCTGGAATTCGCTTGGAGCTCTGTGACATTGGAAGTGATGTGGTCATGCACCTGCGTAACAGAAAAGTTGTCTGCACCCCTAATACTAGGTTTTATAATTTGACGCTGAGGGCTTGATGTCCAGTTTTGTGCAGATTCAACTCACAGCTTCACTTGTGAACAAGCTGATTCAAATGGACATTCGAATTTAGCGCCTAGTTAAAGGGGTGTTGATGCGGCTTAATGGAAGCGACCGCATCTACGATCTAAACCTTTCTTTTGACATTCAGCTTCATGTAAAGTCAAAAGTAGCATGAACAGCTGATAACAAACTGGTCTAATTTGAAATTCAAATTTAGGCTTGTGGAGGTGGCATTCACGTGGGAACAGGTTGGCTTGAGAATGCTCGAAGACTCTGAGAGGTTGCCATGCATTAGAGGCAACCGCTTGCTTTACTTCAGTGGCATTTTGTTTCTATAACAAGAGTAGGCAGGCTGGAGGAAAGGTAGCGCACGTGTGCCAGTGATCGTGTGTTCCATTGTTGCGTTGTGCTGTAACGGATCACGGCCTCTTGAACATGACTCATCTGGTCTTTTTTGCCGTTGTTGCCTCATTGTTTTTTTTTTTCACCAGCCCTCGATTTGTTTCGGCTTCTATTGTCTCTGCTTCTTCAATGACAGTTTTGCGTCAGATGAATGGCAGCTTAATCATACCTGACAGAGTATCTGAAAACAGCGATACGTGACCACACCCACATTTTTATGTTCTTGTCTCAACGCCCAGAACTTCTCCATATTAACAGGGAAATGTACTATGAGCATCAAATGAAACCTGAAGAGTGGCAAACCTTCAAGATGGTATTGTTCGTGCCGTCCAGTTATCACCATTGACAGGCGCACACATCCTGTTCGGCAGCTATGCGCATATGTGAGTGCCTGTTTATGCTGATTAGCAGATGGCGCTCACTAAACCATCACCAAAGCTTACCGCTGTTCGGATTTTCGTTTGACGCAGATTTTACCAACAAGCTCAACTGTCAATGCTTCACACTGAATGCTCACTTGAAAGCAAGGGTGCTATGACTGTAAAGAAATGCTGCACATTTTTTTGAAAACTTCATAAATATAGAGAAATTTGTCAGAGTTTAGGTCAAACTCGAGTTCTCGTCCTACTGATGCTACGTAGTCATTTATTAAGCTAATTGGACAACTCAAATATTAGGCATTAGGACCAAATTATTCAAGAATGAAAAAAAAGGAATTGTTGACTGTAGTGTAGTAATAACAGCATGAATGGATTTCAATTCTATGAAAAAACACCTTTTCATTGGCAGGTTCGAGTCTACAACCTTAGAAACATTACAAAACATTACGTTGAATATTAAGCCTATAAAGCATTAGGTTGCAAAGGTAATTCACAGTACATCATAAGTCAGTCAGCATCCTACACATTCATTCTGTACTGATTAAGGTATCATTGCTCCGTAATGAAACTTAGTGCACATATAAGATAAGGAAAACAGATGGGACAGGATATAATACTGATTTCCAACAAATAGCCTGAAAAAAGAATTCTTGCATATATATCTTTCTAGCCCAAGTGTATGTGGACTCACTGGAAAGCATAGTAATGCAGAAGCAAAAACAAGAGCTACGTGCTGCACTTTGGTGACTGCCTTGCTGCACTCGTCTCAATAATTCATATTGTTTGCTTGGAATTTTAATCGATGAAGTGCTGATGCATCAGTCCCTTGCAGTGGCAATTTCCTGTGCCTTGATAATTCACCTTGTACACTACTTATGGCTTCTGTTGAAGAAGACACATTGATTGCAAAAAGGCTTTGTTGGAATTCAGTACTTCGATCATGTCTTGTCTATTAGCCTTGTGTAATTTCCGCGTGTCAAAAGTTTCAGCCTGCACTTGTACCGCCGCGCAGAACTGCATTCTGTAGCCATTGCTCGATTCCTCTTAGTTTTTTTTATTTGTTCATTTGTGCAAGTGTAGCCCTGGCCCCAATAGCCAGCACTATACCTTATTAGGATGCTGAATTTTACCATTAGATTTTTATGCTAAATCACCCTGATGTGTCACGCAGGCTTCAAGAGCGAGTGGGCCACCGTTCGGGAAGGCGTCCTATACGTAGGTGGCCTGGGCAAGGAGTGGACGAATAGCAAGGGCCACGTGATCAACCACGACCCCCAGTGGATCAAGGTAGTGACCCCGGGGGGCCGCGTGGAGCACCGTGACTGGCGGGACAATTACCGTAGGCTGTGCGAGTGGGCAAAGTACGGACCCCCAGGTAGGCAGCATTTTGCCTTCGGTGGCTCTTTGAGGTCGCATGACCAAGTTGGTTGCGTAGCAGCCCGTCACACATGGTCGGAAACTGTAACTTCGATGAAAAAGCAACTGTTTTGGTTAGCAGAGTAAACGTTGCACAAAAAGACGAAAACACCGGACGAGTGCTGTCACACTCGTTTGGGCGAGTGGGTACATGCGTAGTGCTGAAAGTCATATATTCTCCAACCTCGTCTTTTGGGGTCAACTGTGTAACCCCAAACTGCTGGACTCGATAAAGTTGTTTGTCTCTCTCACCTCCCCTCATTAAGCGTGTATAAATAAGCCAAGTTAGTCATGCTTGAGGCTCTCTTGGGTCACTATCATACTTCTGAAATGATCTGTGACACAGGAACCAGAAATCTTTTTTTTTTTTCTATTAAACATGACTGTTTGAGCATATGCGAATGGCTCCAATGGTAAGAAAAGCTTGATTGGTAACTTCTATGCAAACGAAAAGAATATCTGAGTTTGAAGCTTTTTCACAACGTATTTCGTAATCGAACAGGTCTGATTTCGTAATCGAACAGGTCTGGTGCCCTCGCGATACTTTTGTAAACAGCGACTAGGTTATGCCAATGAGGTAAAGGAAATAAGCTGCCGGACTGACGCATTTAAAATGTCATTTTTTCCATGGACGATAAGCCAGTGGAATGGGTTCTCTCCCGAAGTAGCAGAACTTACTTCGCATTCAAGTTCACCGCTGGGTATCCAGCAGTGGACTCTCACGGTTGTGTAAGCACAAGTCTTCACCATAAACCTGCTTTATATTTTGTATGTACGATGTATCACTTCGTAAATTGACAGTAAATTGCATTTATTGTAAAGTTAATGTGCTGGCACCCGATTTTTCCTTTTGTACTACAGTTGAACTCCTTTATAAGAGGCATGTTCTGGGCAGCGATTCTTGCCTTTTATATGAGATGTTTCTTGTAAGCAGGCTATCTTGTAAGCATTTTCTTATCCACCCGTATTTCCCTATAGGCACACTGGTGCCTCTTATACCCATTTGTCTCTTATATCAGTGTCTCTTATAAAGGGGTTCAACTGTATTGTATTCCCCCCCCCCTCGCTCCTCTGTAATGACAAAAAAAAAATAAGTCATTTTAGGGTTGTGATAGGCAGGCTGTGTGCTAGACCGTGGGAGGAGCTGTCATCGTAACCACTCCTTGGTTGCCAGTCACAATCAATCACATGACCTTTGTTTATCGACAGTGCGAATGAGCTCTTTGAGTACAAAAACAAGCAGCTTCGCTAATTGTTAATAGTTCTTGAACACCTTGAAAGTTGCCAAAATTGCTGCTTAGACAAGGTAATATTGAGGGACACCCCAGCGCTGAACTGTGATTCAGCAATGGGATGTGTCCTTCAACCTCCTCTTGTCTACGCCGTGATTTGTGCTGTTTTCACAATGTGCAAAAGCTCTGAGTAGTAGTAGCCTCGGCTGTTCGAGTATTCGTCCTAGTTTGCTCAAACTCTTTTGTGCAGCTTGCAAGATAAGGACAGCTGGAAATCATAATGCAGTGTGAAAAGACACGACACACACAGAACCACACACCACAAGCACATTTCGTGTTACGTTACGATTTTCGGCAGGCACCAACGAGCTCAAGAACATGGTCTTCTGCAGATAAGAGCAGGCCCGGGTAAAGTAGCGCAGTGTCAAATGAAAGGGTCTCGTATACCGTAGCTTAGATAAACCCACTCGCAGCTGTTGGATGACCCCAACGTCTCGCCCTGTCGTTTTCCAGGCTACATGATTCACGAAGCCGTCGCGTGGAGCCACCACTTCGGCGAGTGGTTCTTCTTGCCGCGCCGCGCGAGCACCACGGCCTACAACGAAGTCGAGGACGAAGAGAAGGGCACCAACCTCATGCTGCGCACAGACCCCAAGTTTTCTCGCGTCCGCGTGACGCAGGTTGGGCCGCTATTGCCCACCCACGGCTTCTCGTCCGTCAAGTTCGTGCCGAGCCTGACGCGCTCGGACAGGGACAGCCTCATCCTCGCGCTCAAGTCGGAGGAGTACAAAGGAAAAACCGCGTCGTACATTACTGTGATTCGCGTCGAGGACGGCAAGGTGCTCTACCCCGAGACCAAGATAGGTGACTACAAATTCGAGGGAGTGGAGTTCGTCTGATGATGTGACAGATGGCTTATCATTGTTGAATGTTACATTAAGTGTGTTCTGCAGCCTCGTTAAGCCGATAAACATAACCTTCGTGCAAAGCTGCTTTGAATTTAGGCTCCTGCATTGTATTGGTGTTATTGCTTCTTCCCCACTTATTACTGCGGTAAAATATCCTCACCTCCTCATAGTTGCTTTTGACGATGATACCACTTGTCGAAAAGAAACAGATTATTTTTCGACCCTAAAAATTACTGTTCACTCACTGAAATCGCATTACTGGTCATGTGGATCATCAGTTGCTATGGCATATCACTCTGACTACGTGAAAAAAAAAAAAAAAAAAAAAAAACTTTCACTTCTTTGTTCTTCAATACCAAAATTTTCTTGCTCAATACATGTCCTCTAAGTAGCATCTGTACAATGTTACATATCGGCTTCATAAGGCTGTGTCTAGATATGCGTATGCTTAATGCTTACTTCCAACTTGTCGAGTTTTAGGAGGCAGTTTGGTTTGGCATCACCAAATGGAAACGACACCAAAACCCTTATGTAATGCTTGTTGCTTCTTCAAGCAAGTGATTAAGCAAGTTCTGTAGCTATACTTTTAATGAATAACTAATTGGAGAGAAAAAAAAATGCCCTGTTGGTGTAATTTGTTGCTGTTGTTATGCCTTAAAGGCGTTTCATTGTGAGACGGGACTTGTGGGAAGGTAAAATATGCAAAAAAACTGCCACCAATGTATGTATAAAGCGAAAGCGAAACCTACCTTTGCTCGATGAGTGCAAAAGGACAGTTCTTTTTGCCTTTGACTGCCGAGGTTGGTGAAACTTTTTCTAGTCATCATTTCTTATCTTCCTGCGCGATGCAAAGAGCCCCAACATTTTTCGCTCTTTGCTTGAACCAGTTTTGCAGTCCTCACCGGTTCAATGCAGTAGACGAAATGCTTTGGAAATTTATGGCTTTGCACCGACGGCAGCTGCTCTGATATTTGCATTGGCAAATCTTGTTGGTGCTGCAGTTTTCCAGATTCATTATGGACCATGTCACTGGTACTGGTACCAGTTTGTGGTACCAGGCATCTGTGTGACATTAAGATTCCTTGTCATTGACCATACTTCCTTAGTTTGATTTGTACCCAGGAGTAACCGGTCTGTCTGAATGTTTGCAGATCTGTGATTGGTAGCTCTGTTCATTAAGATGCTGATGTCTCGACTATTTCTGCACCTGAAATAGGTAAATAGTATCGTGGCTGCTCTAATCAGCTATGGTAAAACGTTGCTAGTGTGGCGGCGTATCGCATGCTCTTAAATAGGTATTTTCTTTTGCACAAAGGTTAAAACAGTCATTCCTACTGCCTGATTTTTGCAAGTTGTGTCCATTTTGAAAAATCGGTGTTGCTTTTTAGCAGCTTGCTTACTGTATGACAGATGACAGGACTGCATTTGTTTACGTATAGTTGATATCAAAACTTCATAAAGTGCAGCTCCAGCAAAGTAAAATGCAATTTTTAGCACTTATCCAATTTTTTTTTTTCAGTCACTTGTACATTGAATGGAACATTATATTGGTCATGTACGCTAGTATAAAGAATACTCCAGGCTGAATTGCCCTGGTTTGTGAAAGTATTTCAGCTTTTTCTCAGATTTTACGCACCATAAGCTTCGAACACCTATTGTACAGAAGATTTGATATGAGGTGTCAGTCTTGTGCCGATGTTGACTGAACATGTGTGAAAAGTGTGTGCCTTCGAACTGTCCAGTACAGAAAAGACTGTTAATTTTGTGTCGGGCATGTGCGACGATCTTTGCTGTGCATACAGCGGCCCAAGTGAAGATAGATCTGCAAAGGTGTGTTTCGAATGTGTTGTGTTGTTAGGTTTGTACAGAAGATGTTGATCAAATGCCTTTTGTATACATATTACTTGTCCAGTCTGCGGGCTGTCTACTTGTGGGAAACTGGACATGCCGTTTCTCGCCTTTGTTCTTTTCTTTCAACATATCAGCATCTGCACTGCAGATGCTCACAGAGTTGTCGGTTGATAGAAACAAGAAAAAGCTCACAGGTTATATCTGGTTACTGTAGCATCTATACCTATACTTTCAAAAGGTTTCTATACCTGCAAGGGTACGAAGAGGATTCAATATCTGCGGTGATCAGGTTCTTAATTCACTGTGTGCTTGCTTACCATCAGCACACTGGCATAATCACTGTAATGTCAGCTAACGACAGTGGACGGCAATGGCTGTGAGATGATGGGAAAATGATAAATTATGCAGGCAATATCGCACATTTAAAGAGGGGAGGGGGACACTATAGAACCATAAAATGTGGTTTTATAGAAGTTCAGCTCATCAGATTTCATAGTGGTAGTAAGTGTAGTAGTGTTCTTTACAGATATTTGTGCGTACTAGTTCTAGCAATAATGGCATTTTCATGATCCTCACCCACTGCTTTCTTACTTTTTTTTTTGTGGCGACCACTGCTCATATAGCTCACATTGCATTTGTGATCGAACTTCATGAGTAAGTCAGCACTACTTTTCGGATGTGTTCGCGACTTGACATTTGCATTGAAAAACTACGTCTCTCAGTTATGTAGGCAGAATTGGTACGCTCGCGTATGCAGATATCGGTAGCTCTGATGTGCTTGGAATCTGTGTGTTGCAAAGATTACATCAAATGCACATAGTTGCCGAAAGAATCCAGAAATGTAGTTTTCAATGCTTTCTGTGATTTTCAGTATCAAATGTTCTTCCTTTTCTCGGTCTCTCTTCTATAATCAAGTGAGAAGCAAGATGCACCCAACTTTGCATGAAGTATAGTGCAAAGCTATATTCAAGAAGGCATAGAAAAGTTTCCATATCTCTTTTTTTTTTTTTCACAAAGTTCGCTGTACAAGCTGCATTCTCATTGACTGCTAGGCTTTCCTGATTATCACTTTTGTTTTAATCACCTCAGTTTTAATCTAGAACTCACGGTGGCATTGTTGAACAGTTCAAGACAGATTGCCAGAAAAACCAAGTGCAGTGTCATCTTTAGTGCTGCAGTGTAGACTAATATAGCTACGCTACCCACTTGATTGATTGTGCAGGCTCTCTATAACCTCCCAATCACTTTATCATCTGATGATTCTTCATTGTGGGGCTTTGATTTATTCATGCATACAAGCCAACTTCACTGTAGTGCTAATTCACTTAGCAACAAATTGTTATTTGCCATATGCATCACACGAACAGCTTCTGTCATCCTACATTCACATGAAAATTGAAAAAGAAAACACATAAGAATAAAATTGTAGTTTCAACCATTGCTTCTCTTCAGTCCATCTGAAACTCATCCTGCTGTGTGACATTGACAAACGTGACACTCTCATTGATATCAGTTTATTTAACATTGTGGTTGATGCTAGTGCTGTAATTTTGTGCTTTCCAAAAATATTTCATCTTGTCGGTATCACACGTGTCAACAATTATGTGCATGCCTTCATTGTAACAAGTATCACCTGCATACTTTGATGATGAAGGTCAGCCCAAGCATCTCGCCCAAGACGAACTTGTTCTTGGGCGAGATGGGGCCTGAGTTTGCTGAACATACTGATCATCCGTCGGTCCTTCGTCTCTTTCTTCAACCTTTTTCATGCCTTTAGCTTTGCACCAGAATTATTATTACGTAAGGATATGTTCAGGAAACTTAAACAACCTAGTTTAGCCTACAATCTGGTTTCAACTCTAAAAAGAATTTCTTTTGAAGCTCCTAATGCAGGGGCATGACAGAATGGCCCCCGTCACAGCATTCTAGTCACCACTTGGTAGCGGGCACTTCAGTGTTCATCGCTCTTGGATTTGCAGAGTGCCACGGGACCCTTTTTTGATTGTACCATCTTGGCTGGAGTAATGTAACGATTGTATTGTATCGTTTTTCTTCTTGCGCTTTGTCCAGTTGGTACTCTTGACCCTCTTCTCATCATGCCCTGAATCTATGAACTGTCGGTGATAAGCATGGAATGGAGTCAATTGAAAAGAATCACTGGCTCTTGATCCTTCAGATTCAGTGCTTTGGTTGTAGGCAAAGTTCAGACTGGCTTAAGTAAATTGTCATCAGCTTGCACTACTCGAGTGGACATCACGCTGATGTTGGGAAGTAGCTTAAGAAATAAGCACCAACCTGGTAAAACAAATGCTTGCTGTATTGTTCGTTCAGCTATGAAGCTCAGCTGATTTTTTTTTCTCCCTTTGAAGCACTGGCTGATGCACTTCTTGATTACCTTACACAAAACGCAATTAAAGCTAGTATTTTTCATGTTTTGTGTTCAGGTGTGAGCTTAGTTTTGTCAATGCTTCCATAATGATTTGATCATCAGCAGTTATAAATAATTAATTAAGCATAAATCTTTTCATTAGCCCACCTGTAAGAGCTGCTGTTTGACCATTGTTTTAATGTTAGTAGTTTTGTCATGCACTTATAGGTTCAGCTCAGATGCTTTAGATAGCCATGCTAGCATCTTTAACCAGACGCCTTTGCATGCCTCTCCGAAACCAGAAAAATTGCAACATACACCAGGTGTTACCTGCGAACTGTACACTTGCTAACAGAAAATGTGTGTTTGTTTTTTGAGCACACCTTGCTTAGTCATAACTGTGCAAATGAAATTCTAAGTGTGATCTTGGCTGCACTGTCATCAACATGCCTTCATTACAGAAGCATTACAAGAGTGATGTAAATGCAGCACAGCTTTTGTTTGTATTACTTGCTCACTTGCCAGTTTCCACTTGCCAGGACGACTTTTATTGAACATTAAAAGTTCGTACATCATTTCAGTGTGATAGTACTTGTAGCAGTCCGGGTGTACAAGGTATGGGAAGACATTCTGGAAGTGCAATGTGTCTCCGACATTGCACTTCTATTGGTATCGCCATCGTGATACCAATGGAAGTGCAATGTCGGAGACATGACTGCTGAAAATATGTTCCATGCAACACTGACCTAGTCGTAACAGCTGTGAAGCTGTTATGCAAAGGGCTCACAATTCGTAGTGCGACGCGTGAAGGCATGCAGACCCTTATGGTTCTATAACATGCAGTGCTCCTTTACCGCACTGCATTCAGAATTCATCACTGGAAAGTAATTGTATAGAGGAAACAGAATAAGATTAGATAAATCCTAATGGGTGAAGTTGTCACCTAGCGTGTAATTCACCTAGCGTCTCATCCTACTGCTCAGTCTGATCGCAGTTCTCCAATGCTAATAAACACTTTGTACATTACAAGCCCACCACTTCGTTGCTTTAAAACCTCTGCATCAATGTTCACATTTCGAGAGAAGAAATACTAGCACCACCTCTTCGAAAGCTGGGACTGGAATTGGCAGAACCATTTCTTTTGTTTGGGGCCACTAATCTGGGACACAGCCATATTTTCTTTTTGGCATTGAGGAATGTGTCATTGTAAACAAAGTAGTATCCTGCTAAATTATGTGTGCTTCAAATCTTTAATTTCTGACAATTGGCGATTCAAATCGATTTATTATTGCTCAATATTGTCTAGTAAAGTTACCCCATAAAACTTTGCAGACCCACTAGTGAGCCGATCGCCCGTATTGAGTCTGAGCCATAATCGGAGAAGAATATTGCCCCATTGTTAGGAAACGTGCTGAAGCAGTCTCACTCTGCCAACTTTTGTTCGCGCAAAGTGGACGGATTGTGGGTTTTCTGTGTAAAGACACGTCACACGTGAATTCAGATACGATCACGGTTATGGCCCATTTTTGCGCGCGATGTGTCGGTAAAAGGCAGTCAATCTTAATGGCTGTTCCATAGCTCAGTTAAGACCATTTCTAGAGAACGTAAGACCATTTCTAGCGCAGTCCAAACCATTTTAAATTGAACCTGCACCAGCCGGCCCCACTTGGCGTTGTACTCTGGTTCTACGCGATAGCGATATCATGTCTCTGGTGCGCACTTCAAATAGTGTATGCTTTTTATTGTATGACGTTACCCAATAAGGTTGGTTGATTGACATGTGGGGTTAAACGTCCCAAATCCACCGTATCATTATGAGAGACGCCGTAGTAAAGGGCTCCGGAAATTTCGACCACCTGGGGTTCTTTAACGCGCACCCAAATCTGAGCACACGGGCCTACAACATTTCCGCTTCCATCGGAAATGCAGCCGCCGCAGCCGGGATTCGAACCCGCGACGTGCGGGTCAGCAGCCGAGTACCTTAGCCACTAGACTACCACGACGGGGTGTTACTCAATAAGGTGAAATTGTGGATTACAACAGTTTTAATAAAGTTGAAGTGGCTTGTGTCAGTGAAGCTTTCACGTGTGTAATGTGTTTCTGTGTTACGGGGGGTAGGGGGTGGGGAGGCTTAGGTGAATAGGTGCGGTAACGTTTGTGCCTTTTGTAGTGGGAAGTCTTCTTTAAACCGTGAATTCATTATGATAATCGCATGTTTTGACGCCCGATCACGATGTACACTTGTATGACGCATTATTACTGCGATATTACATGCATCGTGAAGCGTGTATAGGGGACGCGAGTGTTTGTGTAACGCATGAAAGTTACTTTAACTGCATTTCCAGTGAGTGAGTGAGTAAAAACTTTATTGAACATGTCCGGCGTCATTGAGCGGGGTGGGACTACAAGCACCCCGGCCTAGGTGACGGCCTCGAGTCCTTGGACCCGGGCGGCATCCTGGGCATGCCGGACATCCAAGTACATTCTTGGCTGTGTGATAGAGCAATGCTTGCTACGCCAACGTCCGGGGTTTTTTATTTGCATCTCTCAATCTTTCAGTCACGCACAAGATGATTTTTCGCTCACAGCCACCGACGCCAGCATTTCCGTGAAACGAGCTCTTTATCGCTATAGCGTTGGAAGGGAACCGTTTGTTTATGACAAGTCCACGGTTCGACGCTTGCGCATGCTGGCTTCGAAGTCGGAAGCTAACCGGCTAACCCCCGTCACAGTCCCTTAACTCTGCCCCCGTATTCACAAACGCTCCTCGACTCGACACTCACCCTTCACTTGACAGAGTTGAGCACTGCGCCGCCGCTCGGCCAAAAATAGCGCTGCGTTGCTCAAGAATTGCAGCAAATTATTGTTGATAAGCAGTGACTTGTCGTGACTAGAGATGGCGCTCCCATCGGCCTTTTCAAGTACTATTATGGTTAGGTGGCGCTAGCCGTCGCCATATCTAAAGGGTACAGCCACATTCATCCATCAAGTGAAGATAGAGCGTTGAGTGGAGGCAACGCCTCCTCTAGAAGATGCCTGCCGCATGAAAAGAAAAACGGCTGCCACACCCTCTTCCTCCTTCATTTTAGAATGTTCTCGGTCGCTAGCGTCACCTGTGGCGGACGATGCAACAACGCAACACTTTGCATAGCCTCCGAAATAGCGGTGTACAATTGCAGGTCTCGAACAACTTTCGACTGACGCGCCCCTATGGGCCGCAGATGAAAAACGCTTAGCTGGTAGTACCACCCGCTGCCGTGATAATGGATGGATGGATGGATGGATGGATGGATGTGGCTGTACCCTTTAGATCGGGTGGCGGCTAACGCTACCTAGCCGTAATACTTAGTGAACTAACCATTACATTTATCTTTTTTTTTTTCCTTTAAATAATGAAGTTGAGGATTCGTACTTCGCAGTGAAGGATTTAATTTTCACTCATGCCTTGACTTTAGCCACCAATCAGATAACCTCCTTCTAGTTAAGTCTACCCGCTTAAAGTCTATTTTGCCCTCGCTGTCCCTAAATCCCAGTGCTTTGAAAAACTCTGCGCCATCATCCTGAACTATAGGGTGAAGCCCTTCACAGAACATTATCAAGTGTTCGGCAGTTTCTTCTTCCTCTCCACACGCACTGCATACTGTGTCTACCCCTTCGTATTTGGCCCGATATGTCTTGGTTCGCAGTACTCCCGTCCTGGCCTCAAACAGTAGAGAACTACCCCGAGTATTATCATAGATCCTTTCCTTGGCAATTTCCTGCTTAAAAGTTCGATAGATCTCTAGTGCGGACTTCTCAATCATGCCCATTCTCCACATGTCAGTCTCCGATTCCTTCACTTTCTTCTTAACCGATAGTTCTTTTTGGTTTGGCCACCTGCTGTTTTCTAAGTATTTACCAGTCAACTTCCTGGTTCGCTTCCTCCATTTTGTATCGACATTCTTCATGTACAAGTAGCTGAAAACCTTCCTAGCCCAACGCTCTTCCCCCATTTCTCTCAATCGCTTCTCAAATTTTATCTTGCTGCTAGCTTCCCTGCCCTCAAATGATGTCCATCCCATATCACCTTGTAT